CTAAAAATTTAAAATATTTTTAAAATTATATAAAAATTTCAATAACTCCTCAAATTCCATAATATGACACTTAAATACTACATATTATATATTAATTATACTATACTATAAATGACTTAAATACTCCATATTATCTATTACAATAATTAACAATTATTTGACACTTTAAATTCTATCAATGCCATATAAATTAGGATAAAAAACCTAACATATAATATTTAAATATATTTAAAAATAATATAAGTAATACTATACATTACAATAATTAACAACTTAATTATTTATAACTTATATAAAAAATTTAATTGACTCTCTAAATTCTATTGGTACCACATAAAATGGATTATATGATAAACATATATTGTTTGAAATTGACGAAAAAGAAACAATAAATTACAATAATTAATAAAAAAAATAGTCGACGAAATTGACGAAAAACAAATTATAAATTACAATAATTAACAAAATAAATCTCTCGACTCCAACAAATCTATCAATTAATGCCACATAAATTGGGACATGGCAAATAACATATATTATTAAAAAATTAGGTTCAAAATGTACTATAAAATACAATAATTAACAACTTAATATATTAAAGAGACATATAAAAAAGGGTTAATATTTGAAATTATGCATCTGCCACATAAATTAGAACAAATAGATTAATAAATATTATTTTCAAAATTATGTTAAAAAAAAGTACTACAAATCACAATAGCTAACAATTTAAAATATTTTTAAAATCATATAAAAATTTCAATAACTTCTCAAATTCCATAATATGACATAAATTAAAATTAAAATATATATATATATATATTGGGCCCCGTGCTGGCACGGGGTCCTATATCTAGTTTATTTATAAAAACAAAAGATAAAAATAAAATATTCATCCATTTCTTTTTTCCATCTAGTTCACTTTTTAATTTTTTGTTTTTATCCATGTGCAAACACAAGATAATATTTTTTTTCTTAAAAAAAAAAGGTTGGAATTATGTCTTTGGTATACTATTTTACCTTTGAACTATATATGGTTGATTTATATGTTTTTTCCTTCCATTTATTACTACTTACTAATGATTGAAATAATCTGATGTAAATATCGAGTATTGATAAGTTCATATGGTGGCGGATGCAACATAACAATGAGTTTATTCGAACTTAATATAACTATGGCACTAAGCATAATAGTGGTGTGTATATGAGTTTTCTTTCACTACCAGAATCATTATTTGGCAGGGCTACTAACACGTCAGTCTCTCTCTTGGGCGGACCATCAAGTACATCTATTTTTACCGATTAATCAATTTCTAAAGACTGGAGTACATCCTAAAGAGCTACCACTTCCTCATGAATTTATCTTAAATCGACATCTTTTGACTCAACTTTATTCTGTCGAGGGAGCAACCCCATTTTCCACCTTGAATTGATCAAAACATGTGGAATGTCTTACTTTTCCAGAAGGATTAGATGTATGAAAATCCACTAAAACTTCAATGAATATTATATCCAAATCCATTTATTTTAGAAGTGCGATAAATTAAATTTTCATTCAAGAACCTCAAAAATTAAATATTTTAAATTTATATTTTGAATTCGTCTCAATAATATCATAATCTAAAAATTATGATGGACTAACCAATTATTTGTCTAGTAGCAATAATTCATAGTAAGTACTCCCCACTAGCTTTTAATATAGAATATGGGGTAGAATATGGGGTCAACTCTTGAAATAGAAGTCTCCTACTCTTTTTTAGTTCATTAATACTCACTCCGTTCGCTTTTACTTGTCGTTTTTTCCTAAAATAAATTTTCTTTTTTACTTGTTATTTTTGACATATCAAGAAAAGACAACAATTTTTTTCAATATTTTACCCTCATCATTAAATACTTATTTTCCAAGACCTTTAATAGGAGGTAGTTTGGTAAAATACATATATCAATAATTATTTTCTTAATGGGTATGCCAAGTCAAACTGTGACAAGTAAACGTAAACGGAGGGAGTATAAGAAGCATGTGTTCATTTTTTTTTTTCATCAATTATATTTTTTGAAAAATAACTTTTTAAGAAAAATTAAATTCTCCAGTAAAAGTAGAAAAAAATATTCCACAATTGACATTTTATATTTTTAAAAAATCTAAAAAAAATACTTTTCGTAAAAAACATTTTCCTTCCTTAAAACACCCAACTTCTGTTTATTTTGCTTCCCACTTTGGGCTTTGGGTTATTATGAACCACAACTTTCATTGCCCCATTCCAATAGAAAATAGGTTACTTAATACCTCGACAATCTCTTAAATTTCATTTCGATCTTCAAATTATAACTTATTCTAATTAAATAGTTGAACACAAAAAAAATAATATTTTTATTAGATATTTTCAAGTCAAATTTTAAGAAAACTTTATGTTTATCCTCAAGTGTTAATTATGTAGATAAGTTAACAAGTTAAAATATATCACCTTTTTTTAATTATACATTGTACGCATTAGCCCCAATAAGCCGCAAAACCTCAACCTTGTTCCAATCTAGACTAATAGATATTTTATAGTATTAACTTAAAGACGTTTGAGAACATACGCAACTGAATAATTAAGCCGCGAAAAATCTATTTTCTAAATAGATAATAGATTTTTTGTTTTTGTAAAATAAAGTATTACTTTTAATATTGTTTAATTAGTAGGCATTTGGAATGTGATGGGGCAACTAACAAAGAAGCCAATATCAACATCAATTAACAAACATATGATATAATTCTAGTGAAGTGAAAGCCAAGATATGAAACTCTCCACCCATACTATCTTAAATGATTTTTTTAACCTTCTAATTAGGTAATAACTAAAAGTGTAATAATACTACTAATTTTGTAACAAACAATATGGTCCCTTTTTTTCTTAGTTCTTCATATGTCTATATATATTCAAAACTCAGACCATCAAATGACAAACACCAGATTTCATCATCTTTTTTCCTGCATATTGAGTTCTGACTGAGTAAGAAATGGAAAGAGGAGGAGGACTGGTGGTGCGGGGACGCGTAGAGATCGATACGAGGCAGCCATTCGGGTCAGTGAAGGAGGCAGTCATGTTATTTGGAGAGAAATTTTTGGCAGGAGAAATTTATGCCAAGCAACTCAAAGAGGTTCTTTTTCTTCTCCTTTTGATTTACACTTCATTTTGAATTAACCATGTAAGAGTCGATGCAGTCAAGCAAAAATTCATATAGTCGACCCCAACTTGCTAATGATTGGGGACGTAGTTATTGTACGAAAGAAACTACACAAGGCAACATAGATGAAAACAACAATGCTAATGAAATTGAAAACAAGAGAGAAATATAAGTTTAGGGAACAACTAAAAGTGTCAAAAAGCTGAATTTAGACGGATCAAAGTAAGTTGTGTTAATAAATGGACAGGTCATTACTTAGGCTGAAATGGGCTTTGGAACAGGCCATAAACCAACCCTCTGGGTTGAATTGGACAGATCAAAATAAACTAAGGCGTTATTTTCATCGACTAGTTTTGTCACTCTAAACACAACTACTTAAGCCCTCAACTCTAATGTATGTGCATGAAGCTTAATTATTTCAACTATCTCAGGTGCAGAGCAAGGCAAGTGGTGAACAGAACCAGTCTAAAGTTGAATCACCAGTAACAGTAGAGCTTGAAGAAACAAAGCAAAACCTCCAGAAAAGTAAAGAAGAAGGAACATTCATGGCGCATTGCCTTCAATCTTTAAAAGAAGAGCTAGAACTAACAAAAAGAGAGATACAGCAATTGAAGACAAGAGAACTGAAGCAGAAAGTACCGTTGGCGCTGGATAATCCTGAGATTGATGAAGAGCTCAAATTCATCGAGAACCCGTCATCTAAAGTTGAAGCCAGAACACAGTTTCAAGAGGAAGATGACAATGAGATAGAGTTCAAGACAAAGAGGTCTGTTAAATTTGCTAGTACACCTTTACTCACTAGGATCATTGTCAGCAAAGATCATGTAAATAAAGAAATGGAGACTAGTCCTTCACAACTTAAGAAGAAAATGAAAAGGAAAATGAGGCCCTTAATCCCTTTGATTAGTGGATTGTTTTCCAAGAAGAAGGGAAATCAAGAACACTAATATTCATACAAACGGTTCGAGCTCTGGATATGGAGTCATCTTTGTTAAGGAGAATTTTACCGCCATTGTGGGACTTCCCATCAAAAATCCAAATATAGTCACTGATCCCAATACAGATACTAGGCGGGAAACCAAAAAAAAAACCACAAAAGCCATGTTAAGTTTGAATTTAGAATAAGGATAATGGTAGAGGTCTCAAGAAAAGATTTTTACCATTGAATAATTGGTTGTTACTCTAAGTTTTCTGTTTATTAGGGAATGTGTTGGTTCATTTGTTTTATAATCAAGACAAAGAGTGCCTGTAAATTAGTTCAATATTCTTTAAATATGCATAATTGTACACATTGAATATGTATACAACAACAACATACCAAGTGCAATTACACAAGTGGGGTATGTTGTTGATGTATATATGTGAATTGAGAAGATGATCAACATATTCTTGTTCATTTGTTGTGTATCAAATTTGATGATTTCCTCTGGCAAATACTCGAATAGACTATCATTTTCAGATACATCAGACTGGAGAGACAGAGAGAGGAAACAATTGCATCTCATGTTCGCTTTCACCAGGAAAACAGACAATTCAATATAAATGTATCAGATGACTCAAGTTGATACAGTTTGCAATATCAGTCTCAGAGTATTTGATGAAACAGTTCAATGATAAAATAGAGAACATACTGATACTATTCTCTTGAGTACCTTGGTCACCTGAAGCAAAACTGGTAAAACAATCAATTTACACCATATCTACTAATGTACCTCATTCGATGTTCACCAAATCTACTAAAACTACACACAACATGATAAACAATTTAAAGGAGGATACCAATGTATCTTGTAAAGCTACAACAAATTCAAGTTGGTTATAACTTAAACGCTATGCAACACTAACAGGTTGAGCTGGCACGTCTCTCTCACTTTTGCACCTGTACAAGCAAAAGTCCTAGATGTCAAGACACAAATATATGTTTTGAAAATGGATGGTTGGGGATCCAGATTGTAAGCAAAATAGATATTCCTCATCAAGTTTTCTCAGTTCCATATTTGTCTCTTGGCCTACATATCTCAGGTGATGCAGTTAAGCCAACACCGCTTCCCTCCCTCTGTTCTTCCGAAGGGTGAATCTTTTTGAACATTAAATACTTTACATGTGATTGAAAAACCTTTTATTTTTTATTCACAAAAAAAAAGTGATTGAGAAGACCATCATCACAATGAGAATACAAGGCACTATGAAATGCCCAAATGCAATTTTAAAAACAATTGCTAGTACCTCCTTAAAGAACAGAAACTACAACTTCGCTGGAGTAATTGAAGTCAAGTCAAGGTAATCTGAGGTTTACCAGCATTTGCTCACTAGCGGTTCACAGAATTATGAATAAAGCAACCCCCAAAACTTTAACTAAGTGGTAAGAGTGCAACGCGTGATGTGAGTGTAGGCATACATCATCGGCTCAAACCTAGTAGTTTAATGGAGACAGGTAGAGAAGCAAGCCCATTATCCATTGAGGTGCACCACTGACCCTCGGAGATTTCTCCTTTATGAAAAGAAAATTCTGAACAAATTGACAATTAATTAATCAAGTTTGGAGCATACCTATTACAATTTGATCGAGAAGCGTAATTATGATTACTGCAATTTGTGCACATCCAGTCCCCATCACGCCATTGCTTTGCCCTGATAAAAACATGCAACAACACAATTTAAAAAATGAGTGTAAAGAATGGTCTCTAGCACTATACTTAGATGTAGACCGTGATTATTTCATCTGGAGCTAGTCATCTTGCATTATCAGTTTGCAGTTGGTTTTGCCAGTTGCATCGTGATAATACAGATCTGAAACATATTAGATGAAATTGTGCAAACAAAAGATTGGTATATTTTTAATGGGTAATTGCACGAAGATCCCTTAATAATAACGTACAACAAGCCCTGTTAGATTGCTAGAAGCCCTCTATCAGTTGTCTTTCAATGTGGCCATTGAATAAGTAAAATAATTTTCAGCTAAAAAGAGGAAAAAGAAAAGGAAACAAACAAACTGAAAATACCCTCAAATCACATCAAACTTCAGACATTTTTATCTTTTTTCAAGACTGGTGTCCGGGCCATTACTCGCACCTCGACAAATTCCACCTGGTACCTGCTACCTCCCACTAGCACAGGTACTGAATAACTCTGTTCTACAAAGCTTAAGCAGATGGGAAGAACACCTGTATTAGGTAACTCAGCCCACTAGCATAACCTTATTTTTTGAATTGGTAACTTTAACCTTATCTTAATCTTTTCCCCTTCATTCGCAATTCTAGATTTCGAGTTGTAGCTTGTCCATTTTTCTCTTTCCTATTCCTAGTAAAGATGCCATATATGCCTCACAGCCTATTCATCCTTTTTTACAATTAGAATATGTAATTGTTCCTATTGGAACAAAAATCTCTCGATGATGGCTTGTTGTCCGGCCTCTTAATTTGGTGGTGTTTAGGAACAAAAGTCAACAAAATTGTTCTCTAATACCAGTAATCCTCAACAACCTGATGTCACTTCAGCAAGGGGAGGGGTATTGTCCTGTGATTATTGCACTACTATTTTCCAAAATAAATGATCCTAGTGCTAAGTCAGTTTGAAGGACAAATGTGAGTATCTTCTGCTGCCTCCACTAGTCAGTCTAAATAACCCAGAAGCAAAAGTACATAATAAAATCTTACCCTTTACCAAGGAGTGTAGGTGCTGCTGGTACACGAGGAATCTGCATGTTGGCTTGCAAAGGAAGCACCATTGAATTTTCTCTAGGGAAGATCGTTGGGATTGCAGTTAGTTGATTTCCCCCTGAATCCCCCATCCATTCTGCTCCTGGATAGCCTTGTTGATACCCAAATGTCTAAAAGTTCAAATAAAAGGATGTAAGAATGTCAACCAAACAATCCATGACATCAATTTATCAATATCAATACCAGAAGATGGTTCCTTACATGCCCTGCATTCAGCCTCTTGTTGTCCCAATCATGAACAAGTTCCTCAGATGCTAATCGCTTTGTTCCAAGAGCTTCATTGTGCGAGGGAAGACAGGAGAGATCACACTAGTTCAGTTACACGCACATATTACTGGACTAAAAGCAAACATGTGCAGGTAAAAAGACAGACAAAATTTTCTTTGCCAAAGAGCAACAACATACCCAGTGAAGTCCCACAAAGTGGGGTCTGGGTAGGGAAAAGTGTACACAAACCTTGCCTCTATCTCGTGGAGGTAGAGAAGTTGTTTACGAAAGACCCTTGGCTCAAGTGAAGCAAATCAAAAACATAATGGAAAGGAGAAACAACAGTGAAGAAAACATGACAACTAATAGGAAACCAGTGCCGAGCATACAAGGAACAGTACCATCAGCAAAATAGCGAGATCACCTACCCAAGCATAATAAACAACAGATGATAACAGATACCAAAGCCAGAAAAATAGCAAGTCCAAGCAACATAACTTACGGTTTCCCTTTAATCTTCCCACTATGTTACAGCAAAAAAATAATTCTTTTTAAATAGAGATTCAGCTCAGAAACATCAACATGTCCAAATTTTTCACATCAGTTTTTCCTCCAAACACAAGTAAAATTAATTGGAAGCCCTAGCTCAATAGATGTTTTGTATGCATAGGTTCCAATGGTTTGGTAGGAACTAAAATGAAACCGGGAAAACTAGTCAAAAATAGCCAGCTATAAAGTAGAAATAGTTAAAAAGAGTTCTGCAAGGGCAGTGACTGTGATAAGCGAGGGCTGCTCAAGTGTAAGCACCCTCCACCTCCAACCTTGTGGTTGCGGGTTTGAGTAACCAAGGGAGCACAAAGTGGGGAGCTAAGGTGGAGGGTAACAACAAAAATTAAAAATGACAGTGACTGTATAAGCATTCTGATATATATATTTCTTTTGGATAAAGTATAAGCTTGTGATCTATACTCATTAATTTAATGGAAAACCAATGAAAGATTTATGATGTGCAAACCTGTAATAGGGGTACTGGCAAGAGAAGACGATGAAGCTGGAGGTGCAGAAGCATTGCATTTTTTGCACTACAAGAGCAGATGTGCATCCACATGAAATCGCCAGTTAAAAATGCTTTTTGATACATTGGAAGTATTTAATGTTCTATTTGCAAATACCTGAGCTCGAGAAGAGTAGTTGTGAAAGCCACAACTGCAGAGCCAGTCACCATTACGCCATCCATTTGGAACTGGAAGCAGCTGATTCGTTTGGCTTGCATATGGAACTCCAGGAGTTTGCAGCAGTCTATACCGATCAGCAGGAAAGTATTGACCAGCCTCCCCTAGAGACCAGTTAGAGCTCAAGGGAAGTTGTTGGAGAGCTCCATGTCCTAAGAACCCAATGTTCAACCTTTGTTCCATACCTCCTTGTGTCCTGGCAAAATAATTTGGATGAGATGGGAGAGATGCTCCAGGGATTGCAATTGCTGGCATTGCTGCTACCTCCTTTGGTTGTCCACATTTTTTGCACTTTTCTCTTGATGCATAATTGTTGTTAGTGCAACCTAATGGAGCATTCCCACACACGCAATACACATTGCATCCAGGAAGAGGAAACAAGCCAAGAATACGCACGCCAACCCCGCCATCCAAGATGAAAACAGACAGGAGAAAACATAAAAAACTCAACCTAGCTGAAATCAGGTTTCTTATAAAGTTTCACATAACAAGTCAATCTCTCTTAAAATATGAATAATGCATAACAACCTCCACTATATTTGGTAAACAACAACAACATATCCACTGAAATCTCACAAGTGAGGTCTGGGAAGGTACAATGTATGCAGACCTTACCACCACCTCATGGAGGTAGATAGACTGCTTTCGAAAGACCCTGGGATCAAGTGCAACAAATTCTGGTATAAAGAAGGAGACAATGAAGAGAATATAGCAAATAACCAGGAAACAGTGCAAAGGTCTACTAGGGTAGAATAGTAAAAACGCAATAATAAACAATGATAAAAATAAAAAGCAAGAGCTACAATAACACAACTAATACCATCGCACACACCAGCCACCCTAAGAAAGACAACACTACAATACCTACTAACCTTCTACCCTAATACGTGCCGTCTATACCCTCCTAACCTAGGGTCATATCCTTGGTAACGTGAAGCTACGTCATATCCTGTCTTATCACCTCTCCCCAATAATTCTTCGGCCTACCACTGCCTCTCCTCGTACCCTCTATAACCAACTTCTCACACCTCCTCACTAGTGTGTCTATGCATCTCCTCTTCACATGTCCAAACCATCTTAGTCTCGCTTCCCTCATCTTGTCCACCACTATATCTGGTAAAGACAATTCAAAATAGTCAAGTACTAGTAGCTTTTGGTTTATAATTTGCTCATGAACATCATTTACATCATTTTTATTTAGTCCATTTGGATTCTATAATTTGCCTAATGACAACATACGCTTATAATGCACCCTATATTCAATCTCATTGTTTGGCTTGTCTTTATAGGTAATTAATT